CCATGTTCTGCTGCCCCTAGAAAGCTCACAAAACAATCCAAGAGTCATTAACCACATGGCAGACAGAGACAGAAGGTTTGATTTCCTAGACAGATGGATTTAAGGACAGTGTTATACTTATAAAAGCAGCAAGCAATGGGTATACATTATTTGCATGAGTCCCTCTAGGAATGATGTCTGTGCCAATGGATGTGCTCCCTAGGAATGTAACTGGGGAAGTGCTGTGACCCATCTGCACCAGTATTTGATTCTCTGTACATATCTGTTTACATTTACATGTGTACCCATTGTTTTCTCTGACAGAACGGAAGCTCCCTGAGGGGTAGGGGCTAGCACGCTTTTGTCATTGTATGCTAGTGTCCAGTACATATTGGTCACTCGATAAATGCGGCTTCAATTCTGAACAAAAAATGTCACCACTGATAAGGCACCATGTACCTTAAGCATTGTAGTAGGCACTGAAGAGAAGAAGATGAAATCCAGTCTGACCCGGCCTGCAAAGAGCCTCTACTCTAGTTGGGAAGGGTATTAAAACACGCATATGAGCAAATATAATTCAGAGCAAAATGTGAGAAGTACAAAGGGACTGAAGAAATGTGAAAAGAAAGCTCAGAGAAGTCTTCAAGGAAGAATGGGACCTGAGCAGAGCCTTGAAAAAAGAGAAAGATTTCAAAAGGCAGAGATGGTCTAAGCAAAGGCATGGAGATGGCAAAAGGCAGTAGGGCTGGCGAGGGCAGAGCAAAGAGAGGGAAGTCATCTGAGACAAAGCTGGCGAATGTGGGCTGAAGCCTGGTGGGAGATGGCCTTGAAAGCCAGGACCAGGAGCTTACTTGATGGTCAATGGGGAACAGCCCCATTTATGAAGTGTTGTGGGCTGAACTAAACTGAATTAGGGGTGCAGCGGAGTGGGTTTGGAAGGAGGAGCCAGGGTGATCAGGAGGCTATTTATTGGGGTGGTGTGCCTGGGGGCCAACGAGCCAGGAGCAGTTACAGGGAGAAACAGAAGCAGCACCCAAATGGGGGGGAGGTCACCAAAGTGAGTGAGCCCAGGTTCTAGAAGGCTAGGGAAGTGGGGTGGAGAGGAAAGGAGAGGAAAGGAAGAAAGAGAGGAGAGGAGAAGGGGGAGAGGGAGGGGAGAACCGTGGCAGCACAGCCCCACAGGGCCGCCATCTTCATGGGCTGCCCATGGTGTACTGACTCCTCAATGTCTAGGCCTTATTTGCTACTCCAAAGCCTACAATCACACCATATTATCTGAAGTCCCCACCAGCTCTCCAGCCACACATCCTCTGCACTGGCATCTCACCAGGCGGTAGGGGGGAGTGTCATCTGCAAATTTGGCAATTTCACGGCGTATATTCTTTTCCAGATCACGTTAAAATAAAATCAGTGCCAGCAACAATCCCAGGAAGGGGCCGCCCACTTTTTATTTTCCTCTTTTAAAAAGATTTTATCCACTCTGAAAAGAATTCAATTCAGCTGGCTTTAAGCACAATTGCATTTTTTTTTAAATCCAGAAAATAAATCTTGCTGAATCAGTTTGCCTCCTTTGGCCATGGAGTCACCATCTTCTGCAGGGACATAATGAGAATCCCGCCATTTTTTTTTTATCAAGGCCTACAAGGCTTGAGGAATTCAGATTCACAGTTGGGTACTTGACATGAAAGTGACTCCTTTAATCTTATACACTGATTTCAATACCTAACCATCTTCAGAAAGAAGAAAATCATAATTTACAGAAACCTCCGACTGCCTTGGGAGGCTGAGGGAGACATGTCAGGCGCAGGATTCTTCATGTGGCATCGCTCACAGTGGTGGGTAGATGTAGTCTCCGATGAAAGATTTATCATCCTTCTCAGAGCATATGGTTAGTTGCCAGCTGCCACCACAAGATGAGGAAGAAAATACTGAAATGAGTTCCACCACTGAAGTACGAACCATGTCATCTCTCCGTGTTTCAAATGCATGCAGATCAAACGATCACAGAAGAAACGAGGCCCCTCAGCTCAGGAAGGGCGGTCATGCGGTGGGAGCCACAGAAGAATCTCAGGGGGTGAAAACAGGCCTCTGGCAGGGCTAATGCTACACTTGCTCTGACAGGCACGTGCGCTGATGAACGCTGCGGACTTAGGCTTTTTACATCTGTACCCCTGCCTTAATAACAAGTTAAAACGAAAAAAATGAGAGGAGGGCTTTGTTTCTGTTTTTGTTTTTATGTGATGTTTTTTAAGTAAGCAAGGGGGAAATCGGAGTGAAAACAGAATTCCAATCAACTAACAGTAAAGCACTTGCGTTTCGTCAATTTTAAATTACAGCCTGCTGAAATCATACACGCAGACACACCTAGGCAGGCACACCCAGGCACCAGGATGCAGACGTCGGAGTGCTGGGCTAACACTATTCTCAAATGGGAAGAGCAGCCCAGCAACTAGCTGGGAGAAATTTTGGCCTCATCGATCCTGATTTATAAAGGCTATTATAAACAAGCCCCCTCCCCCTCACACAGGAGGCCTTAAGTGTCAACAAAATCTTTTGCTCAGAAAGACTATTAAAAATCCCATCATATTCTGTGAGGCCAGAAAAGTCATCTAGCAGAAACATTTGACCTCCCAAGCCCCCTGCCTTTAAACTCCATTTCACTGTTATTAGCTGGACGGCCCCATCATCCACACTGGAGGGTCCCAACATCCACGTTGGATGGTCCCATCGTCCACAATGGACAGGCACTGCACAGGGGCAATAGCTGGGCCAAGAGGAACAAGAGAACAGACCAGACTAGACAATCACCTGTGGGAAACCGGGCAGTGCTTTTCATGACCCCAAACTTCTTGGGGAAACCAAGGTCCACCTTTCACAAGGACGTGAATACCATAATGCCACACGGCCACAAAGCACGGAACGATACGATCTCCACAAAACAGCCCTGCACCTTCCCTAAAGGACAAGGGAGAGGCACGGCGGGCGCGAGTCAGCAGCACCACATTAAGAATTAAGGATTGTGGAGGAAGCTCGTGCCTTTGAGGATGGCCTCAAAGACAGCGGGTCCTTCGGTGGTAAGAGTGAAGGTGCACCCTTAGAGACAGCCTCCTTGTTCCACTCCATTGCCTGTGCAATGTCCAGCCCCTGGCCTGCTGGGCAAGTGCCCCAATCTCACAGAAGGCCACAGACAAGAAATGCTAGGAGGAGAGGGCAGGAGTGAGACCACCAACATGAGGAGTTCACAGATGCATCCAAGTATCAAAGTACCCAAGGCCAGGCTCCATGGCAGGTTGCACCAGCCCTGACGTGTAAGTGACAATAGCGGGAAGTTACAATGGTGGAACAGACTGGCCAACGATCAAAGGCAGACTGAGAATCTGAAATCCTGGGTCACACACATAACTTCCTTTCCCTGAGGACATGATACTTTTAAGAAGTGAATGAATGTTTAAGAAAGTCTGAATGATTATTAGAATAATCACCAATGGTTAGTAATTATTTGTCCTGGGTTTCAAAGGACATTGTCTTCATTGATATGACAGTAAAATTCCACCATAAGGCAACTTCATTGTTTCAAAGATTTAGTTATATTACAGCGGGCTAGGAAATTGCTGATGTTTGTGTCCAAATCTAAATGAATCCATTAACACAGGTAAGAATACCTGAGGAATGCCCATTAGATAACTCAACGTTGATAGGTTCATAGGATATAGAGCTGGAAGGAACCTCAGAGATCACCAGTCCCAAAATGCCCATTTTGCAGATGAGGAAACAGGTAATCTCACAAAACAAAGGTCTTGATAGGTAGATAAATAACCACTGCTCCTCACTTAAACCAGATGCTCCCATCACTGTTCTTCACCTTCACCCCCCAGTTGGAAATTCCATCTATTTTCCAATATAAAGGCCTCTCTTTGGCATTTAAAACCCCTCACAGGCTGGGCCCTTTCCTACTCTACAGTTTTCTGATACTTTGCTTCCTTCTATGCTCCCTGTGAACCAGCCACCCTGACCTCTGCTGTCCTACATTCACAAGGCTCCATCATCCCTCCTTCCCTTTGCCTCAGCTTTCCTGGAAGACTCAGCTCCAATTCCAGCCTTTGTAGGAGGCCTTTCCTGGACTCTCCATCCCTGGTAACTGTCTCTGCCTCCCCTGCTAGGGCCTCTAAGATTACCCTCCAGCAATGCTGTACATTTTCATTTATACACACACACACACACACACACACACACACACACACACACACACACAAATATTTGTATGTACATTTGCATATACATACACACACATACATGCATATGTGTGTATGTATATGTATATATGTATTTGTATTTCATGTCTCTGTGTGTGTGTGTGTGTGTGTGTGTGTGTGTGTACATGTCTTCACATTCTGTCCACTCCATTAGACTCCGAACTCCTTGAGGACAGGAACAGTGGTTTTGCCTTTCTGTGTGTCCTCACTGTTTACATGGTGCCTGGCCCATAATAAGCACTTAATAAATGCTTATTGACTGACTGACTGACTGACTGATAGGAAGGAAATAAAGAACTCAGGATTCTACAGAACAAGAGAAGTCCCAAAGCCTCTCCAAAGGAGAAGGCACCATCCTCCTGCCCTGGGGCAAGATGGCATGAAAGACATGGAAGGCAATCAGGTGACCATCCCCTCGTTGCTCTGCGCCCAAGGATGACAGTGCAAAAGGCTCCATCTGCCAAGTTCTGGAGCATCGGTATCTGGGAACAATTCCTGGGATGAGGCCTCCACTTCAGCGGCCAAAATGGCGACTGCCTAGGTCAGAGGTGCCTCAGGGAGAAACAGGCCCGTTCCCCATCATCTCCGGCCTGCAGGAGGGAGACGCTGCTCTTGCCACCTGAGAACTCTCTGGGTGACATCACCACACACTAGCCATGCCAGGGATGAGGACGTGCAGTGTGGGAGCGGCTGGCCCTTCTCCAGCACCAAGCACTCCACCACAGACTCTCAGGACAAAAGCCCACGGCTGCCCGATGAGGGGCTTACCTTCACCTCGACGAAGTCTGGCTCCCCCAGGGACACGAGCTCCACATAGGCTTGGAGCTCCTCCACATTCCACGCCTTCACCAGGGTCAGGCGGTACACTGTGCGTTGTTGCTGAAACAGAGAAACGGCCAGCTCAGCTTAGAGGAGAGGTCACCGAAGCTGACCCCCGAGGCAGGGAACAAGTCAGGGGCCGCCAAACATTCTCAAACTACACACCCCTCTGGCCACACAGAAACCCCTTTGGCAGGCTCCCCGGGAGAAAACGCCAGAATGAATGGGGAGGTTGAGGTTGGCACAGCCACCCAATACTACTCTGGAGACTGCTCTACGAGGGGAGCTCAGCAGGCACTGAGAGAAACGAGAGGCAGACGGGCAAACTGAGGCACCAGTGGGGTGGAGGGCCTTTGCCACCGAACCAAGATGCAGACCTCCCTCTCCAGGCTCTGTACAGGGCGTCCTCCGTCACAACAGAAGGATCAGCCCCCAAACGCCGGCTCTAAACCAGGGGTTCATCCCCTTTTCTGTGTCACAGACCCCTCTGGCAGGCTGGTGAAGCCAAGGGACCCCTTCTCACAATAACGGTTTTAAGTGCATAACGTGAAATATACAGGATGCAAAAGGAAAACAACTATATCATATATAAATATTAACATATTAAATGTGTCACATAAATATTTATACACTGAATATAACATAAAATATTTTAATAAAAATATGTTCATAATTATTTAGAATATAACACAATATATTATGATGTGACATATAATATACAGTAATGTATATTATAATTTATATTATACTTTATAATACAATAAAACTATTACAATGTAAAAAAATTTTCTTTAAAAACGAGTTCACAGACTCCAGGATAAGACACCTTGCTCTACTATATGGTTCTCATTTGGAAACTAAGAATGCTTGTTTCTGAATCTCCTCTTTCCCCGCTGCTTCTGGCAGATGACATTGTTGCGTCTCTGGGGAGTGGTGCTTCAGTCAATGGTTTCAGCCTTCTCCCCAGACAATTGTCTTAGCAGAACTGCTGATGGAGCTCAATGACAAGCAAGGAAAAAGCTAAATCACGGTCAGCACGGACAAGCAAACGCCAGGCCCCTGGGTGAGCCGCAGACCGGGAGGTTCACGCCTGAACACCTGAAGCTCAGCGAGAAGACTCGTGACAAGGCACACCGCCCTCTTCACGCCCAAGGGGGCGGCCTCAGGGTACAGACTGAGACGCTTTTGTGGACGATGCAACAATTTTCTGTGTTTGACTATACAGATGTGTAGTAAGGGTTTTGTTTTTCTTTCTTTTTCAATAGGGACGGAAGGAGGGAGAAAATGTTCTGATTAATTGAAAAAGAAACTAATTTTTTTAAAATTCAGTTCAATAAGTTCCCAGAGCTGTGCTAAGTCAGAGCAACATCCAATCTGGAACTGGAAGTGTCCTTAGAGACCCCCACGTCCGACCCCAACGTGAAAAGGGTCCCCACTAGAGCGTACTCGAGAAGCGGGCGGGATCCCCAGCCTCCTCTCCGGCAACTCTGAGTGTCAGGAAGTCTCTCCTGAACCCAAGCCTCAATCTGCCTCTTTGTCACTCCTACCCACCGTTCTGTTCCCAGTCCTGCCCTCCACGGCCAGACAGAACAACATGTCGGCCCCTTTCCACAGCCATCACACCAGGGGTCACCTGGGCCACGAGCACATTTCCTTCCTCCTTCCTCCCCACTGCTAATCTCGCAGGTTGCAGGTGACATCTCAAAGAGTACATTTTCCAGTGTTACAGAATTATATTACATTAAATTATTAAATTACATTACATGAATTAAATTAGATTTTCCAATGTCATAAAAAGAGGGCATCCCTCATTTTACAGGTAATGAAACAGAGGCCCAAAGAGGTGAGGCCATTTGTGCCTGAGGCCCCCTGAAATCTCATCTCCAGGCCAAGTGCATCCCCGCACCTCTGCCCTCCCCCTCACGTGACATGTCCTCAGACTTGGAAGAGGGTCCCTGTCTTCAAGGAGGTTATCTTGTGCTGGTCTAGCCTGAACCTTTCCCTCCCCAAAAACGAAAGCCAAGGGTAGGTGGTGAAGGCAGTGCTATAAATGAGCCTCCAATGACTCAACTGTTTCCAATGAAAGCTTTGAGTTTCTTTCTTTTCCCACCCCAACAACACCTCTGAGAACAGAAGAGAAAGAAAGAGCTCTCAGAACGTCTGACCCCAATCCAACGCTCCAGCCGCTGGGCACGTGGATTCCCTCCAGATCACCAGCCACGTCGTCCCGACTTGATGAGGCCCAGTCTCTACACCCTGCACCGCTCTCGTGGGGAAGAAGCTGTTCCTTAGGCAACACTGGGGTTCGCACCACTGTTTCACTTTCGGAGACCAAACAGAACAACCCTAATCCCCATCTACACAGCAGACTTACAGTTATCTGAAGACGGTGACCGAGCCCTACCATGTCTTCTCTGCTCCCCGCTAAACGTGTCCCTGGTGGACTAGTTTTGAGGTGCCTTGCCATCTTGGTCACCTTCTTTTGGATACTCTCCAGCTTAATTTCTAAAACATCCTTCCTAAAATGCGGTAACCAGAGCTAGGAGAAAGAACACTGGATTGCAAGGTCAGAGGACCTGGGTTTAAGCCCCAGTCCCAACACTTCCTAAGTGACGCTAGGCAAGTCACTCATTCTGGCTCTCATTTTCTTCATTTCTAAAATGGAGGTAACAATTCTTATACTACCTACTTCACAGGGCTGTTGTGAGGAGAGTGCTTTGTAAACTTCTATTTCCATGAACGTGACCTGGGCGCTGCAACGCTGGCAATCAAAAAACCCAATGACATTTTCAGATCCATCGGTAGAAATACAGTGCACAGAAATGGGAGAAGTGAGACTTTCCTAATCAGGTCACATTTTGAATAACGCAAATGATGGTGGCTCTCTTCTCCATATCATTGTCAAAGTTGGCAAAATGAGCCACAAACACACAAAATAAGCATCTCAAGTTAGTGGGAAGGGCAGGGATGGAGGGCCCAGTCCATTGAAAGCAACTGGAGAAACAGCAGAAATACACTGGGCACAAGAAACGGTGATAAAAATGACTCTAGGAAGAAACTCTTGAAAATGTCTTTTATGAGGAATTTTACCACACTGAAAAATGAGCTTTTGAGATGTAACGCCCACCATCTGCAAGGCGGGGGGGGAGGGGGCGGAGGAGGTAGAAACTGTGCTCATCCATCACACACTCACAACTGAATCTCACCAATGCCCCAGGATCCAGACATCTGAGATGCCACCAAGCAGCCCTCCCAGGCTCCTCTCTTCTAGGCAGGCTGCAGCGCTAACGTACCCAGAACACCTGATTTTCCCAAACCACCGCTACGCCGAATTACGGCTTTCCTTTTCAGGGTCTACGTTCCATTCACCCATAATCCAAAATAAATGAGGGAAGTGATAGAAGACAACTACTTTCTTCACTTTGTGACAAACTGGCTGAACGAGAAATTAAGATTTTTAGAACCCCAAATAAAACTACTGGTAGAGAGAAAGATTGCTTGAGAAAGAGAACAGAAAATCAGATTCCTAATTCTAAAAGGCCATGAACTCACTTGTAGTAAGACTGGAGCTAAGACCTAATGCTCTCTTCTCTGTGACATCTACTGAGCAAAATGAATAACCCTGCTGACAGAATTGCCCTGCCTTGTTTCCTCGACACATTTTAGATCATAATGATGATGCTGAGACTGATGTTTCAGTAACAACAGCTCAAACTCACCCAGCACCTTCACAGTAGGACAAACACTTTTTCCATAACAGCCTCGTAAGTAACCAGTGCACCACCTGTTGACGACCACAATAAACCAGTCCCAAAGCACTTTCCTCACGATAATCTCACTCTCAATTCAGCGGCCCATCCGAATCTGCATCCACATCTACTGACTCCCAGCCCACTGTCCTTTCTCGCTAACCTAGTTTGCCTTCAGGATACTCTTTCGCTCTTTTTTCGGGATACTTCAAATAGGTTAAACACTAGTAGTGTTTCTAATGAAGAAAGGGAGGGGAAATGTTTTTAAAATGCAATGAGTCAGGCAAGAATCATGTTTCATTATTCCACAGGTATACATTCTCTCCTATCATTATACACATAGTTAGTATTTTAACTCTGGAAACACCAGAAAGTCACCGAGGATTAATTGAAAATCTCTGTGCCCTCTGAGAATCACTTAGCTCTCTACTCACAGTACTTCCAGACAAACTGCCTCTACAGGAAGCCGGGCAGACGAAATGAGCTCATGGAAAAGCACAAAAGATGCCTCTTTAGACAAAGCCAGGCTTCACAGGACACCAAGGGAAACTGCTGAAGAATAAAGGTGAGTACTTGAACAAATATGGGTTTCTGGACTGAGAGTTTCTGGAAAACTTAAGAGGTAATTTAGAAAGGCAGGTTTATTAGTGACAATGATTAATGAATATATATATGAAGGACAGTACATGTTTATTTTTTGCTTTTTGGTGAGGCCATTGGGGTCAAGTGACTTGCCCAGAGTCACACAGCCAGCCAGTGTTATGTGTCTGAGGCCTCATTTGAATTCAGGTCTCCCTGACTCCAGGGCCAGTGCTCTATCCACTGTGCCACCTAGCTGCCCTGACAGTACTTTGTTGTTTTGTTTTGTTTTATTTTTAAGGCAATTGGGGGTTAAGTGACCTGCCCAGGGTCACACAGCTAATATGTGTCAAGTGTTTGGTCTGAGGCCAGATTTGAACTCAGGTCCTCCTGACTCCAGGGCTGGTGCTCTATCCACTCCACCACCTAGCTGCCCCAACAGTATATTTTTAAAAGAAATGTTTCTGAGGTGTTTCTCTTAAAAATTCAAGTCCCACTTAGCAACTATCTAATCTTAACTTCAATTTGTTTTGTTTCATAAAAGCAGAAAAACTTTAATAAATTCTGAGTTCAGACCAAGTTAGTAAACTATTGATTGGAATTCCCTTGCTGGGTTCTGACACTGGCTAAATGAAGGTTCTATGATTTAAATGCACTGGGAGTAAAATCAGCTCAAGATCTAAAATAGGCCCAAGGTCTGAGAATTTAGTGACACTTGAAATACATAATCAA